TTACTTACTTACTTACTTACTTACTTACTTATGTAATAGACGACTTGCACTAAAAGGGCACTTCCTTTTTTCATATCTGTTGTTCATTTTGATACAGCTGTTCGTCTTAAGGAGGTAGGGTCACGTGTCCTGTTAGTGCAAGTCGTCCAGCAAATGACTCAAAATCCCTTGAGATATCAATAACAATGAAACAGGTCCCATGTTGGTTGATCTAACGAAAAACGCTAATGGAATGCTTTGCTATCGTCAACCAAGATGGCGACTATGATGTAACATGCGCCTCAAGAATAGGAACACGAATAATTCTATATCCGATTGGATAATAGCTCCGTGTAACGTTGTAGTTTTTCATTTACCTCTTTAGCTTCCTCACTTCCTTCTTTCTTCTCATTTCCCTCTTTATTTTCTTTATCCTGTTTCTTTTCCTCGTCATCTTTGTTCCCTTCTTCAGTGATTTCTCCCATTGGTTTCTCAGGTCGATACTTGAGCCATTTGACTGGGGTTCTACGATAGCAATATTTCTCTTTAGATTATTATGACCACAAATCCCTAAAGGTGCTGACACACGGTGCAACATTGCACGAAACATTGCAAGCAGTAAATTTGAATCGGGGTGACACACATTGCATCAAAATCACGCAACATCGCTTGTGTCAGCCTGCTATGTTAAGATATTTGGTCAGCAGTTATAAATTTGGTGCAAGCCGATTGGCTGGAAATTTCAAAATGTTGCAGGTAATGTTGCAGCCATGTTCACACCATGAAATTTGTTGCTCGCAATGTTGCAAGAGTAGAGCGCGATTCAACTTCAGATTTGTTGCATGCAATGTTGCATGCAACAAGTTTCAGAGTAGACACACGCTGCAAAAGTCCTGTTGCGTGCAATGTTGCATGCAACAAGTTTCAGAGTAGACACANCGTGCAATGTTGCATGCAACAAGTTTCAGAGTAGACACACGCTGCAAAAGTCCTGTTGCGTGCAATGTTGCATGCAACAAGTTTCAGAGTAGACATGCATGTATGCATGCAACGTTGCACCGTGTGTCCATACCTTCACATGACAAACACAGATTCCATTCAAATCCTGTAAAACAGAACCTCATAAGATTCAGATGAGGCCGAAGAAAAACTGACAGCCTTTACTTTTTTCGGCGTGTATTCACACTACCCTGCTTGGCAGAGGTGCCTCTTCTCTCAACACAACAACAGACCAAACAGAGGCAGACAATGTTATTGTGGTTAAATAAACTACAGCCACAGAAATCTTATTAGTTAAATAATAAAAAAAAGCATTGTGCACTTGCATTTGTCAAGCACATAGTGAATACATACAACTCTAGATCTAGCATGTTAGTAGAGAGCAATAGTACTGTACTAACTAATTAATACCAAAATGGCATCAATGAAATAATTGAAAACAACAGAAATACATGTGTTTAGTGCTATTTTACGGATGTATGGTTTGCACTCTATCAGACAAACACATATAGTAAAATATTCTTTGGATTTCTATCCGACGTGGGTTCCCTGTGGTAAAACGACCATCTTACCTTGCTCTACTGACTGGTATTGGGCTTACATTGTAATTGACAAAYGGTGATGCGACTTCCAGGAAGCGGGGTTCCTTTGGTGGCTCTGGTGGAGTCAGGGGAGGTTCAATAAGCTGTTTCTTCTTCTTCTGTCTTATGAGTTTCCATCGTGGTATTTCTATGGGGGGAGGGGGTGCCACTAGTGGACAGTCTCTTACTGTAGTAACTAGAACAGGGTGAGGATGGTTGTGTGATAAGCCTGAGAGACGCAGCTTCTCTGATGCATCAGCCTAAGGAAAAGATGGAAATAATGTTGTCAATCATATCATCAGCATCTTCCATCACCACCATCATATTCCACTATAGAGACTTTGCACCATCACGTGACAGCAGCCATGTTAGATGGCAGGAACAATACAATCGTTTCACATGAGATAGAATTCAATTCCCGAGAGCAAAGGGATTTTATTGTTCTGCTATCTAACCACAGGCAGCCCAAGCTGTATTATGGGCCCCGGCTCGTGATAATGCAGAGCCTGTATTACCACTATCATCACCATGATCATCCATGATCATCATCACATCTAAGCAACAGGCAACTAACAAAGGCATTTTTCATTAGGGTCCTGCAAACACAACTATAAACTTTGTCGCAATCTTCAATAATTGAGCTCAAATCCTGAGTACACAATCATAACCATCCACCTCATCATTCATGTCATCATCACTATCATCATTCATATTTATTGTGAGTCATCTTTCAACAGGGGCAGATCCAGGAATTTGTTCAGGGAGGGGTGCTGCGCACAAAGTTAAACTAGGGAGGAATGCACCCCTTAGGATCAAAGGGAAAAAACATTATTTTGTATTGGTTATCAAAGTAGGGGCACAAAGTTGAACCAGGGAGGGGTGCGCACCCCCTGCACCCCTCCCCTGGATCTGCCACTGTTCAAAGTCATATCACTATGACCATAATTGGAGAGACTCACTAAGGTGTCTAGGTATTTACATCACCATTGCTCACGTCTTACCATTTCTCTTAATACAGATATTCTCATAGGTGTGTTTGGTGGATTAGAGTAACTGGCAAAGATAACCAGTTCTGGTTCCTTTGGAGGCAGTTCTGGTGCAGCTGCCACAGATGATGATGTACCTATTCAGATGGAATTGATTTAGATATTTAAGTAAAGGGTTTAAAAAAAAGTTAGCAATATGGTATAGATGCTACTGTGCCATGCAATGACGGTGCAATAGTTCCTTTTACAGCTCCCTGCGCCATCTTTATGAACAGCAAGCTTGCAATGATATAAAAACCTTTTTTAAACACCTTGAACAATACGTCACCCTGGATTCCCAACTAACCTTTATCTTTTTCTCTAGTCTTGCTCTCTCTGTCTTTTTCTCCGTGTGATTCATCCTTTGACCCCTTGGTAGACTTGGTCGACTTTCGTTCTTTTTCTCTCTCCTTCCTGGTGTCTGGTGTTATTGTTTGCTTGATCTCCTCAGGAGAAGGGGTCTTGTCTAACTTCCAGTGAGGTAAGACTTTGAGTAAGAGCTGCCAGATATCTGATGTGTGCCCATACCTGTAAAGAAAAGATTCAAATAAAGATTAATCCATACTATAATTGAAGTCAGGATTCATGATAATACTCCAAATGTTTTCTGACTTAAAATTTTTGAAACATTTTTACAGGGGTTTCGATCCTAAGTCAAAGAATGACTGTATCAAGCTTCCAGAAATATATAGAACTCTTGTACGGGACTCTTGCATGCACGCTTATACCAACATTTATAGTGCGTGTGCCCAAATACTAACAGCACACTGAAGAAGATGCATAATCACGGATCGAAACGTCTGTAAAAGTGTTTCAAAAATTTTAAGTCAGAGATTTCAAACATTTAATGAATGATGTGGGTTATGGTAGAGCTTTTAACAAGGGCCACAGATTTGTTAGCCACTGGGTTTTAAGTGGTACCCTCATAAAAATAAGGACAGTTTTTCACAAGGTGATAGGAAGTGGTGATAGGAAGTCATATATTTTAGATAAATGTCTCATTCATTAATATAATATATGCCATGCTTGTAAACATTGTAGGCACCGTTTGATGCTATTTTTAGAATCACATTTGCCATCATTTGTTTTTCTGTGCGCGAAATTATGCATGCGCTCCACCCTGTTTGCCCACATTTTTTWAAAAAAAAAACTGAGAAAACAAGAGCAAATAGGGTAAAGGGCGCGCAGTACACGTAATCAGACAAACAAACGATCGAATGAATGATTCTAAAAATAGCATGAACGATTCTAAAAATAGCATCAATGAGTGCTCATGATGGGGTGCAGGGATTCCTTGAATATATGTACGTACCTTAGGGGTATGATCTCAGGCATCCATCCAGTAAGAGCATGAACGACTGTGAAGTCACCAAATTCGCTGGTATTACTACCACCAGTATAACTAACGAGAAATAAAAATGAGTCTCTCAGATAATTTTGTATTTATTAGTGCTGGTAATTCTGTATAATCTTATCATCATATTGGTTGGTAGTCAACCATATAATCACCACCATCATCATAATTATCATCGATGCAACTACCGCCATCAACATCAACATCACCACCATCACAAACAACAGCAACTACATCAATAACAGCTTTATCACTATTCTGCTACCACCATTACCATAATCATCGTCATTACTATCAGCAGCATTGTCATGTAAACATCACTGTTATTACTATCATCATCACCATCATTTTCATCATCATTATCACTCATCATCACAATCATCATACCATTCATACTCCTATTTTTCATACACACCAAGTAATTCTCCTTAAAAAGATCAGCAGCTCATCTAAGGGAGTAAGCCCCCAGCACTTCTCCTCTATACCCCCCTCTGTACTTTTATCATCACTATATCAATTATGATCATAGGCTACGCAACGGCACTGTAAGGAGGGGAGAGGAGAGGGGGAATGAGGAGGGGAGTCCACCTCTACTCCCCTTTCTACCTCTCCTCACAGAGTGGCTACACAGACTATTATAATCATGACCACCACCAACAAGAAACACATAACCTTGATCATCATGGTACATCACCATTGTTATACTCATCATCGTTGCTACTTACTCTAGAGATGCCACTTTGATAAGAGCCTTAGTCACCAACATGGGCCACAGTTCTTGTTCATTAGGGGTCACAGGAAGCAGTAATCTACCCTCCTGATCAAAGGGCATCCAGTCATCAATGGTGATTTTTCTCCATGCTCCCTATGGAAGAAAATAACCAATTAAGAAATTTATTATATTCACAGAGCCAAGAATATATTATTTTTGGAATTTAGTTCAATCATTACAGTAGATTTTGTGGAGCCAGGAGAAAACCAGAGAATCCTTAGAAAATCCCCAGCCCATCAAACTTTTCTTTCTTTTTAAAGAAAAAAAATCATTGTAATTATAAATCCATTGTAAAAAAAATTAACAAATCCGTAAAAATAGAAATAAAAACAAAAATAAAAATCCATTGTAAATAAATTTATTTTAACTTGCGAATAAACAATGATTGATTGATTGACTGACTGGCTGGCTGACTGGCTGACTGGCTGACTGACTGACTGACTGACTGACT